ACCCACCAGAGCCTGGTACAGCCCTGGCGCAGGTGGTTGCACCCCCCTGATTTCATCCGGGCTGGCCGTTCCCCGAAGGAGAGCAGTCCCGGCACGAGCCCAGCAGTATCGCCGTGCCCCCCGCCGCAGGGTGCCGTGATTTGCCACTGGTTACCATCAACATCCCCAACGTATCCCAGAAAGGAGCCACGGAGAGAAAAATCTCTCCATTTTTGTCAAATCCTGCTTTTTCCATTGAATTTTTCCCTTTTTTTCAGGCGACCCTCCCAGCTCAGGCACTCCCCTGTACCAGGCTCTGCTGAGCTGCGCTCGCAGATCACATCCTCCCACAGCAACAAAGGACAGAGCAGCATCACGGACACACAAAGCTACGTTTGTTTAAAAAAAAAAAACAACCAAAAACAAAACCAAGAGGTGAGAGACAGCATCGCAAGGCAAACTGTACCTGATTGCCGAGGAAGAACTATGGAGGGAGAAGAGTTGTGGAGGGAGAGGGGATGGGGGGGGGGAAGGAAAGTCGAGAGGAAGAGGAGGGGAAAGAAAAACAAGAAAAACATTTATGGGATTAACAGTGCAATAATCATGAAAACTGTTAACTGCAGGTAGTTAGAAATCTGTGGGGTTTATGCTACTTGGGTGTAAGGTAGAAGCTCGGGGAGCCGGGGGCTGGTGCAGGCGGGGGGGGGCCAGCGCTGCGGCTCGGCTCCTCCCGGCCAGAGCATCAGCCCTGAAAACAGCGGGCAGGAAAGCGGGCAGCTCTGTTTCACCAGTTCACCTCGGTGAACGATTTGAAACATAAACAGCCAGCCCGTTACAAAGAGATTCTTTAAGGAAATTATTCTCCTTCTTCGGGAGCGAGCTAAGAAAAACACAGGGCGTAAGGTACACTCATCCACGAGGAAAACGAGTGAGTGCAGCGTTTCGCGGGGCGGGGGGGCCGGCTGCCCCAGAACAGGGCCACTTTTATGCTCTCCCGATTCGGGGAACGCCCTGGGGCCGAGGATGGTGCTGGGCAAACACGGCTCAGCCACCTCCGCCGGGAGCTGGCGTGCCGGAGGATGAGGTCTCCGTCTCGCCCCGGGGAGCCCGGGGGGTCCCCCCGCGCCAGGCTGGGCACCCCGTCGGTGATCCCCCGCCCCGGGTGGGAAGGTGGAGCAGGATTTGTGCTGCCGGGGCAGCATTCGTCCTTACCCGGTATTTGTTCTCGCCGATCTGCTCCACTTGGAATCTCTTGGCACACTTGCACTGGGCCACTTGCCTGGTGACCTGCCATCACCAACAAGAGAGGTAAGGGACCAGGATTTTGGGAGTCTCCCCCAATACAAGGCACTGCTTGGATAACACACAGCCCTAAGCAGCCTTTCCTTCATAAACACGGTAGGTACTGGTGGTACCAGCCAATTATTTTAGCTCAGCACCACCACAATCCTTTTTTTTCCCTCCTTTTTGTCTTCCCCACTGCCAACCCGCAGCCTGAACCACCCCACACTCCGAGCACCCCTCTCTTTTGGTGCTTTACCTCATCTTCAATCTTGTCGGCATCAGTGGTGGGGCGGTAGGCATCCTTGTTGGGATGGAGAGCAGCCACGAACTCATAGTAATCGATGTAGCCGTCGCCATCACGGTCAAAGATGTCGGCCACCGCGGTCATCTCCAGCTTCGTGGTGGGGAATTCTGGAAGGAGAGAGAAATGAGCAACCGATGCAGGGACCTCACTCATGAGAGCCGGGGATGTCGGAGCACGGTCTGCACCTCGGTCCTTGAGCAGGGACAACCTCTCATCACACCAAGGTGGCCATTTTCCGAGCTCGTTTCAGGCAGGCAAGGACTTACTAGAGGCCAGGATGCCATCGATAAACTCCTGCCGGGTGATCTTCCCATCTTGGTCTTTGTCGATGCGCCGGAAGAAGTCCATGACGCGGGATTTCTTGTGGTTCATCCAACGCATATACTTCTTCCTCCAGACATCGAAGTCGAAGTTTGCAAACTCCTTCAACTGGAAGGAAACCCGCGAGAGTCAGCGGGGGAAATCCCTGAAGGAGCAGCACCCCTGGCTCTACAGCACCCTAAAACAGCAGCCTTCGGGTGAGCCCGTGCCCGAGCTCCCGATGCTAACGCTCACTGCCCGCCCTCCCGGGAAGGTTTATCTGGCTTTATCCAGACGACCCCCCGTTAACGAGGGGGCCGCTCAAATCGACTTTCCAGAACAGAAGGACACACAGTGTAGCCGACAGCCACCACGTGGACCGCGCGTCACGGAACCATCGACACGGGATGCAGCATCCCCCACGGTGGTATACGTACACATATGCAGAGATATCAGCTACTTGCACACAGACACACACACACCCCGGCTCTGCTCGGGCATTTGGGGATGCTTCCTCACCCAGATTTTTGCCTAACGACTCGCCAGGCTCTGCCCGGGAGGAATCCCCATTGTTGGCACCATTTTGGGCATGTCTCCCCTCTCCCTTTCCCTCTAAGGGGCCAAGAAGGGATTTCTTGCTCGTCTTCCAGGTAAGACAGCAGCTGGGGCACATCTCAGCTCTGCAAACCCCGGCCCCGGGCTCTGCCACCAGCCTGCGACGAGCCGCTCACCCTCCAATTTAAACTAACACCCTTTTTATCCCCCCTCAAAAGGACCCCCACGACCCCACCAGCTAAAGCAGCTCACAGCAAGGTAAGGCAACAATTTTTAGCACTTTTTCTGTTTGTTTTCTCTAAACATTCTTGGAGTTAAAAGCAACAAAGAAAAAACATTAATACGTATAAACTGAACTGACCTACAGCAAAAGCAACAAAAAACAAAAACACTCACTTCTGGGCATAGCTGCTTTGTTAAGCATAAATAAAAACAAAAATTACATTAGATGTTTTGAAAAGATAGAGACAGTATAATTGTTAAACTAATTGCTAGGAGTAAAGCAGGCCTGGCTGTACAGATACTGACTGCAGGGGCACAAAGCAGTTCATTAACGTGCAGTTAATTACCGAAGGTAGTTTTCAACCTTAATATTTTAGGAGTTTGGTTTTTTTTTTTTTTTCTTTTTCTTTTGGCATTTTCAGAAAGGCAGCAGTAACTGCCTGCAAGAGCTGGGCAATTCAAGAGGCAGCACTAATTTAAAATGCTTCTCGCACCTCTCTGGCGAGCACCCCCCCGGCACCGCTCCCCCCCAGCCCAGAGCAGCCGGTGGCCGTTACCTCCTCCAGTCTGTCCAGGGCATCGTTGAGCTTCCGCTGCCGCTCCAGCGCCAGCAGCCAGACCTGCTGCCAGCGGGCCGAGAGCTGGTTAATCCGGGGGTTCTTTGTTTCCGACTGGGAGATAATGGGCATGCTGGGGGGGGCGGCCTGACTCAAGGATTTTCCTGGAAAAAGGGAGAAAAGGAGTTGTTTTGAGGTGGTGTTGATGGGTTCAGCAAGTCTGCTGCTCCTTCCCGCACCGCTCAATGAAATACATTTTATTTTTTAAATAGAAAACCTCCCACGGCCTCGCTGGCTGCGAAGGGACACAGTGTCCCCAGGTAGAGGAGGGGGTGACGGACGGCTCTACACCCAACCCCCCCCCGGCGCTCCCTTTGCACTCGGGAATTCACAACAGACTCTGCCTTCAAGAAACAACATAAAAAAAGACCCCAAAACCTCATCACAAAGCAACTGCAGAGAGAAAGAGAAGAGCAGCAGTGACAGCACGAGCTTCCCCAGGCGCAGCACACCCCGGCACGGGCATTTTGGCAAATGCCACCTGGATTTTCCCCTCCTGACAAGTTTCAACCGCCTTCCTGATGGCAGTCAATGCAGGATGCCTTGTTAATTGACAATCAAAGTTAATTAGTTTCCTATGCGTTTCATTTCCTCCCATCGTAGCACGTTTCACCAAAAGCTGCGTATCGAGGAGACGTACTGTTGCTGCGGGACTTCTCGATGAAAGGCCCGTGGGGGGGCTCAGTAGCTTTCCTCTTGTACGTCTTCGTGACCCGGTCCACATCTGGCTGTTTCCGTGTCATCTCCTCCATAAAGGACTGTCAAAATACAGAAGGGACAAGAGAGCCTTTGCAATTTCAAGATGTTTTCGGTCTCTTGCTGCTCCAGATTCTCGCTGGGACATGCCAAGCCCATAGAAGAGATGGGAGCACCGGCGACGAGGGCTTGTGGTCAAGCTAGCGTGCAGCACTGGCTCGGATCTGCAAACGCTGGAGTTCATCCCCTGGGCTGGCTTTGCTCCCAGGTGACAGCTCCGGTGGGGTCACACACTGTTTTGACAGGGACTTCCAAGAGAAGTCAATGCCTCCTCCATGGAGGGGCAGGAAACCCCCCGCACCCGCCCCTCTCCCGAGTGCTCGCCGTGTTCGGCTCACCTGGTGTTCGGAGATGAGGGCTTTGACCTGATCAATATTTTGTGGCATGGGCTCCTGGTCCCGCTGGATCAGGGTTGTCTCAGCCCACTGGATCCAAGCCAGGAGCTCTTCCAGAAGCTCTGCGTTCGCCACCAGCTCGGAAAGCGCGGACTCCAGTCTCTGCTGGTGCTGCTTCGCCCACGTGAGAACCTGTTGGAAACGCAGAGATGACCATTAGCCCAGGGTGGGAAACCAGGGCCAGGAACCAACACCACATGGCCATCCCTGGTGGTGGTGTCCACCATCGCCTCTCACCACCGGCCTGGAACAAAGCCTGGTGGACTCACCTCCTCGAACCTGGCTCGGATGATGGTGATCCAGTGTTTGATCGTGGTGATGCAGTCGGGATGGCAGGCGGCCAGGATGACCTCCCCCATGCCCACCGCCGCATTCACGTCCACTCTCTTCTCCTCTACTTTCTTCATGAACTCCTGAAAGGCCCAAATGAATTATTTTGCAATATTCTCCCCCATAGATTTTGCTCGGGTTGCGTTTCAGAGCTCCCCGCTACCTTATGCGTGTCGATGAGGGACTGCAACGCCTCGGCGTCGTCGGGAAGCGCTCCCCGAAAGCGCAGGGACTGCTCTGCCTCCGAGAGCCACTCCAGCAGCATGTGCACGGCCGTCCTGAACTCCTCTGCCTGTGGCGACAAAAGCACAGGCGTTAGCCCTCCTGCTCCCGAAACGGGTCGCTCAATTCACTGCTGAGAGACAAAGGGCTGAAAGGGACTTTAAAAACAAATAGAAAAAGGGGCAAAAAGCCCTGTCTGTTGGCTTGGGTTTGTGCAGCACCCGCAGATGGGTCCCACAGCGGCCGGGCACCTCCCTCCCCTCGGCATCAGCTGCACTGAAGAACTAAATGTTTTTAAAAAGAGAACAACTACCCGTGTTCTGAGCAATTTGGCACCTGGGTAGTTTATTCTGTGAATTGCCTACTTGGCATAAAAACCACTTAAGAGCCTTTGACCTTTTTTTTTAGCTTCAATCTAGGTCTCTCTCTTGCACTGGACATTAGCAAACACCAGCCCAGACAGTCTCTGGTCACTGCCCTATCCCTGCCGTGCACATCGGTGAGAACTTTCCATGCTCCCTTTTCAAATCAGCCTTTATCGGCTCTTCTTGGGGGAAAAGAGTAAGTAAATAACTGACACCAACCCACTGCCTTGCAGTTCTCGCTGGTAACTGCTGCAGAGCTGGGTGTCCTGCTCGGCCAGGAGATCAGTCCCTGGGCAAAACCTCTTCTCTGAGGTTTGTGTTGACCTCCCGGCACAAACTTGTAGCCCCCTGAGACCGTTTCCACCCCTAGCCTTCTGCTCACCTGCTTCAAGGCCTGTTCCAGACGGGTTTGTTTGGACACGGACAGCTTGCACACCGTGTCCCACCGGTTGCTCAGCTCCTGCAGCTGCACCTTCACCCAGGTTGTGTCGTCCCGGCTGTTCTCGATGAGCTCCCGGCCGGAGCGCTTGAGCACCTGGACCGTCCCCGTGCGCTTCCCCAGCTCCTTCTGGAAGACCTGGAGGGAGAGAGGGCAGAAGCCAAGCGGGGCCAGTCAGTCCCAGCGGGTTGTATCACGTGGGGAATAAAACAGGGGGCACATCTGAAATAGTTTGTAAGGTGGGTTTTGCACCCACAGCAGGGATCCACCTCACGCCGCTGTGGTGGGAGGGCAGGCAGGGAGCTAGACAGCACAGGCAGCTCCTGAGCGTGTTTTGTTTTAAGTGCACGTTGGGCAGGAGCCCCAGCTTTCCACCCTGGCAGAAGCAGTGGTGACCTGGAGCAGGCAAGCTCTAGCCCAGGACCTCCGGCTGCAACGCAATGGCTGCCTTGAATGGAAGCCCAAGCCCTGCCCGGGGATTTCAGCGTATGACCTAATCCAAACCCAGGAGCACCAGTCTCCAAGACGTGCTGGAGAGAACTGCCAAGACGAAAGTTTATACAGGACTATAAACTCAGCCACCTTTTCAAAACTAAACCCTCAACAGACCTGACTGATAGCATCTCAGAAGAACAGAGCTCCAGCTCCTGTAACCTACGTAAAAGTTTCTTCCCACTTGTTCGCCCTGGTTTTGCCCTTCTTGTCCACCACAGCGAAGCAAAGCAGCGAGACACGCAGCTCTGCAGCAAGGCACCAACTCTGCCTCCTCCTTCTTTGGCTCTTGGGGAAGACAAGCCTCCACTCATGTCGCAGAGAAGAGCTGGAAAAGGCGCTCTCACCTTGTGAGCATCCATCAGGTTCATGACCAGATCCAGGTCACCATGGACAGGCTGGTCTTCAGCTAACTGGGGTTCCACCTTGTAGAGCCAGTCCACCAAGGCCTGCAGTGCATCCATGAACTGGCCAGAGAACAAGAGGGCTTCTTCCAGCTTGTGCTGCCTGAAAAACAAACGTCCCCGTGAACTTCCATGAACAAACTCACCTCCTTTTGTCACGTCCCAGTGACCTCCTCCAACCTCCCCATGAAATCGCCTCCCCTCCTCTGCTCTCCACTTTGATGAGTCCTCAGCAAAGAAGTGCTGTTGGTGCAACGCTGGGGCTGGACTTACCTTTCCACAGATTTGCCACACACTGTGTCCCACTTATCCCGGACTTCTCCCAGTAAATTGTCCAGCTTTTGAGTGTCATCTGGAAGCAAGGCTTTTTCTTTGAGGGCTCTGCCTGTCCTGATGGTGGTGTCATAGACGGGCTGCTTCCCACCCAGTGTCTTCTGGAACTCCTGGGAACCAGAGAGAAAACAAAACTGTTTCAGAAGGCCTGGCCTTGGCTTTCTGAAGATGCACGGTGCTTGTGAAGATCCCCAGCTGAATATTTTCCATGGCAGTGGTAAGCGTGGACGTGCCTTTCCCCTGTCCTGCCGGCAGAGGAGATGCTGCCTGCTCCCCCCTCTCAACAAAGCACCCTTCCACCCAGTGTCCAGCACCGGTCTCACTTTGGCAAAGCTCTACCTTGTGTTTGGAGAGCTGGAGCTTGATTTTGTCAGGATCATTGGAAATCTCCAGCTCTGAGTCCAGGTGATTCTCTGCGTCCTCCAGCCAATCAATCAGTTTCTTCCAAGCTTCGTGGAACTGCAAAGAAACAGGAGCAAGTCTGAAACTTAACACTAGTGGTGTCCCCAGTTCCCTTCTGGTCTTGGGACCTCCTGTTCCCCAAGGTTGGCCATACTTCGGGGTCTGTCGCACCCTTCCCGTGTTTCTCACCTGCTTGGCTCGCTTCCTGGCATCATCAAGAGCCCGTCCCCGCTCCACTGAGCGCTGGACGACCTTCTCCCAGCGGGACTGGACGCTCACCAGCAGGTTCTTGATCAACACCACGTCCTGCTTTTGACTGAGAAACTTCAGCTGGTTCCCGGTTTGATCCAGCTCGATGATCCGATCCCGATGAGCGTTCACCTCGTTGGCAAACACCTGCGAACGGCAAAGATGTCCTCTTATCTGTAAGGGAGCTGGACTTGCGTGAGAGCAGCCCGTGGGTGCAGGGGAGATGAGGTGCCACCCTTGCTCTCTCCACCCCGGGGAGCCGTTGGGTGCTCACGGCACCCATACCTTGTGCTCGTCGATCTGGGCCAGCACGGCGTTGAGGATGAGGCTGGCCGGGGGCGCGATGTTCAGGCTTTGCTCGGCCAGCGTGAGCCAGTTGATGAAGTCCTGGAGGGAGTTCTGGAAGTCCGTGGCCAAGGCCAGCGCCTCCTCCAGCTTCGCCTGCCGCAGCCGGGAGGGAAAAGGGAGAGGGAAAAACACAACGCGGAGGGTGAGAGCTCACGATCTGCGGTTTCACAGACAGAGGCAGCCTTTGTGTCGCTGCCGAAACGTCCCTCTAACAGGAACCTCATCGCCTCGGCTTGTTTACCAAGAGGAGGGGGTTTTGGTGAAAGCCACCGCTTTCTTTCAAAACAAGAATCGCCCCTGAAAGGGGAGACCTTCATCAGCACACGAGCAGCTGCGTCACCCTCAGCTTCCCGAGAAAGGGATTGCCATGGGGAGAGCGGCTGGGTAAATGAGGTGGATGATATTTTGATGGTAACAGCTGCAGCACCGCAAATTTATTCTGGGCCGAGGCCACCGCGTCCCTTGTTTTATCTCATCACCGGCCAAAAGCCTAGGATGGAGTCAGCTCGGAGGAGGATTTGGCCTGCTGTCTCGCAGAGGATCAACAAAGCCTGCCTTTCAGAGCCGCGGGAGGTTTCTTCCCACCTCTCCTCTAAATTAACCCAAAATGCAATTTTACTCTCATTTTCTGTGTGATTTAACCAACTCTGATGACTATCTAGAAAAAAAAAAAAAATAACAGCTTGACGCTCAGACATCTGAAAGACAAACTCAACCTGTGCAACCAAGACAACTTGCCTTAAAAAAAAAAAACCAACCCCCAGCCCTCCTCTCCAGCCCTGACCGGCTCCATCCCTCCTGGGAAAGCAGAGCAGCAAAGCAGGGAGCAAGTGCCGTCAAGACCAGCTCATGGGGCATCTCTCCACCAACACTACCTTCCTCTCCTCCATCTTGGTGCTGACCAGACACCACTTCTGCTCCAGCAGCGCTACGCTCTGCTCCGTCTTTGAGCCGGAGCCAGAGAGCATCAGTCGTCCCTTGGCCAGCAGCTGGCTGTAGACGTCCTCCTTGGCTTTGAGCTGGCCGTACAGCTCCTGCAAGGGAGGCATCACCGAAGCGTTAGACAAGGGAAGAGCTCGGAGAGGGGCCACGGCTTGCTGCAACTCAGGGTGATGAGAAAATTAGGTTCAGGGCAAGCAGCAAAGTGAGAGCAGTGCGTCACTTCGAGCAGAGGTAGGTGGTTAAAGCATCGTGATGCTTGTCCCAGGCATCAAGTGCAAAATTAGCTGTAAGAAGACACCCGAGAACCACTCTTCCTCCCATCAGATACAGAAGGGAGAAGATTCGATGCTGATATTTGACAGGCAGGAGCTTGCTGAATTGAAAACATTAAAAAAATCTCTCCTAAGAAATTACCATGTGGGCATTGAGTTGTTCCCGGGCAGTTTCTGGCAGACCTCCTGTGGGTTTTGATGCCGACAATTGGCTCTCCATCCTCGTTAGCCACAGGAGGAAGTCTTCAATCTCACCATGGAAACCCTGGGCCTGTTCGGGAACATACAATCGGCCGCGGATCAGATGACATCAGCCACCATTGATCATGCGCCAGGGTCAACACTGCCTTTGCTTCAAAACCAGATAAAGAGGCAGAGCTGGATGCACCAGCGCGTTACGGAAGGTTACACATGGCACCTCCTTAACCACCTGGGTGTGCCTGGTCCCCGCCGTGCTTCTGGGCAGGCACCGAACCACTCCAAGACTAAGAGTTAAATGAAAAACTCGCATAAAAAAATCCCAGCGTGTCTCTCTAACTCCTTCCCCTTTCATTTCCCCCCAAAGCGAAGGGGGAAGCGGACCCTCAGCAGCTCTCTGCGGCACAGGGGGGTACCCCCGACGCGTCTCCCCGACCTGCTGGAGCGTGGACTGCAGCTGCTGCTCCCTCTCCTCCGTCTTCTGCAGCACCGACTCCCAGCACGAGTTCAGCTTCTCCAGGCGGTTTCGCAAGCTGCTCGCATCGTCCCCTGCGCTCGACTCCAGGAGCTCGTTGCCCGCTTTGTTCACCGTCTCCACGGTCGCTTGGTGGGCCAGGACGTCATTCTTCAGCACCTACGTGAGATGTGGTGGGCAAACGTTGGACACCTCTCTCTCTAAAGCACCTTGTTAATTCCTGCATGCTCTCATGGACTTGAATCAACTCAAAGCCTTCATGAGAAATAAAATCCTGCAATGGGAATAGACTAAAAATGGACCTGGAGTGGGAGTACTCACATGGTGCTTTGCGAGTTCAACCTCGATGATTTTTGGGTCTCCATTGATGGGTTTTTGCGCGTCGAGCAGCTCCTCGGTGTGGGTCAGCCAGGCCATCAGCTCCGCCAACGCGTGCTGGAACTGGCCGAGTGCCAGGAGAGCGGCTTCTAACTTATGCTGGGCAAGGACGGGGAAGGAAAAGGAAAGTTTAAGTCAGGAAGGAGGGGGAGCATCCCAGTGAGTTTCAGCCCTGCACTTGCGAGAACCCCAGATCTTCTCTCTACCTGTCTGTGAGCAATTTTCTCGCCCAAATTCTCCCAGAGATGTTTCAGCTCTGTCAGTGGTTCCTTTATGATGTCTCTGTCTGTCTCATCTGTAGCTTTTTTTAGCATCAGTTCACCTTGGTGATTAAGCTTTTCCATCTCAATCTGCTGCTGGTAAACCTCCATTTTAAACTCCTGCCAAAACAAGCAGGACGAAAACCAGAACAAAATGAATCACTGGACTGCGAGCCCTGCGATGCAAAGCAAGCACCGGAGAACTGGTCCCACTCCGCCCGCGCACCTTCATCTCGTTCATTTGCTCCTTAACCGTGTTGAGGTCAGTGCCGACAGGAGACATGTTGCAGAGTTTGATCACGGCGTTGTCCAGCCAGTCAAACATGGCCTGAAAGGAGCGCAGACACCGTTAGCAAAGGGAATGGCGAAGCGTGCTCCCCCCGCAGCTGGTCGGGGAAACGGGGCTGGTGCCTCCATCACCCCGCAGCCGTGAAACTTGTCTTTCGGGGCAGAGACGCCTGCTTGGCCAGCACACGCTTCTGCAAGCTCTTTCCTTCCCTTCTCCTGCTTCCAACATAAGGACCTGACAGCAGCCAGGCTCATCCTGCTGCTTTGTGCAGAAATGAAAAGAGATTTGGGAAGACAAACGCAGTCAAATATCTGCTCCTCCTTGGAGCTGGTTGTTGAGCTCAGGCTCTAACAGAGGCTGCAAACACTCACCCAGGAGACATTTCCCTGCTTTGCATTAGTGCAAATCCCAGTACAACTCCAGGGAGAGGACTCGCAGTGGTGTTCCCAAGGTCCACCCACCCCACACAAACAGCCCTGCCTCTTACTTGAAGCGTATCTTGGTATTGCACAGCCGACTGCATGGCTTCTTCAAGCTTTTCAAGCCTCTCCTTCCATGTTTTGTTTAGATTTTCCCACGCGTTGTTCATCTGCGGAACACAAGATTGCCCACAAAATTCGTTAGGCTCTCCCACTTGCTCCTACCCGATTTTATCTGAAGGAGAGGCTGCTGGTTTTCCTACCTCATCAATGCTCTTTTTCACTTCTGGTTTCTCAGTTTCGCCACAGGCAAAAATTAAATCAGTTCCAAGGAGCCGGATGAACTCCAGCTCTTCATGCAAGCCATCCGTCTCCTCTTTAATAGTCTGCATATAACACAGTGACAAAAGAAAAATGTTTCTTATTAAATGATCTTCCGAAATTGCCCCACGACCAGGAGGGCTACAGCACGGAGAGTCCTTCCTGCTCTGGCGTCCTCGCCCCGGCCGACAGCCTGACGCCAGACCCCAGGACTAGCTTACACCGCGAGCAGACGGCTGTCCTGCTCCCCAGCAATGCCACCGCCAGCCTGGTCTGCTCCCACCTCTGGCCACGGTGGCAACGCTGCTGCCTGCAGGGGTGGGGGAACTAAAATAAGAACATCTGTATTTAGCTTGACGTGTGCCTGAGCCGCCTGGCTGAAGATGTTGTTTCCAAGAGATGTACTGTTTACAGGAGTATTTTGTCAATATAGCAGTTAGGTTTTGAGACTCAAAAAGTTGCAAACCAAAGTCAGCATGGTTATAAAAGGGGAATAGCACGGACAAACTTAGCAAAGCATAAAGAATCATCCCCGTTCCCCAAGTCAAGTCAAATCCACCTGAAGTGGATTTCACCACTTATTTGAAACAACCAAACACCACCACCCAAATCCAAGCCCATCCAGCTTTACAATTATCTCCGGTCTAACCAAAATCTAAATATACACTTCCCACGCTAGACAGCGCTCAGATGCCTTCGACTCAGACTGGGAGCAGAACCGTGCAAACTTCCACATCACTCAAAACAAGTGGGCACACAACTCTGACCACATGCTTGATAAAGCTTCCCAAAACAGTAGCAGATAAAGTGATTTAAGCATCATTTCCTTGTCTGGAACAGGGGGCGGCGGTGGTGGGGAGGGATATGTGAAATACACTTCTGTTTTTTTCCTTGCTGTTCCAAGTTGCAGTGGAAATAACATTTCATAATCCAACTGCCTGCCTACAAAACTGTTCTACAGCCACTTTCTGGCCATGTTTATATCTAAGATCGACCCCAATTTAGCTTACAAGCTGAGTGCAGACAAGTTCCATACAGGGGTACAGTCCCATCGTCCTTACCTCTGCCGCTTCCACTTGCTGCTTGATGATGGAAGGGTCAATGCCTGGGCTCTCCAGGTCGTGAACGATGTCCTGCGTGTCTTTGATGGTAGTCAGGAGGGCTGCCATGTCGTACCAGAACTTCTCTGCAAGCTCCAGGACATCAAGGAACTTCATTTCACGTTCCTCCGCCCGAGCTTTGATGTCTTCCCAGAAGAAGACCATCTGATCCAACTTATCCTGGATTACTGAGGAAGGGAATGAAAACATTCAGTGAAGAAAGTAACTTTTCTACAACTCAAAAGCATTTTGCATACACTTTCCACTTAGAAATAGCCAACAGAATATTCAAATGGGAATTAAAGATGACCAGGACTATCAGAGCATTAACTCAGAGATACCGAGGGACATGAGAAACTCCAGCTTGCAGAAATAAAGCCTTTATTTAAGCGCAGGCAAGCTTAGGGCAAATTTGCCCAAACACTCTCGTCCAACAAACCTCTGTTCTGGCCACCTCTAGCGTGAAGTCTACGCTCACTCAGTCCATGAGCTGGCTGTTGAGCTGCCAAGAAAGGTGCCAATTAGTGCCAATCGTGTTGACGGGTCTTTTTGTGCTGGGGATGTTCCTTCCCTCCGTTAGATGCTGAATCGACACCAACAAATCATTTCACAGGGGCCACCAACGGTTGCCACAAGAGACCAGCTCAGGGTGACGGCTCAGCTCGGCTGCGCTGAAACCTCTGCCTGAGCAGCCACAAATGCTTCTTTCTCCTCTGGCTGATACCACCCTGTCTGCTCCAGATGGAAGCAGGCACCAGATATCTGCGTGCAGAGGACTCATCCTTCCTCCTAAGGCCAGGAGACCCTCTGAAATACACCCCTGGGACATCAAAGTCTCCCCCGTGGTGATGGAGGCATGGTTTGGGTAGGAGAAGCTGGGCAGTGCTACCAGCCAGCACCTTCCCTTAAATCCACCCCGAGATTACCTTTTGCTGCCAGGTCCTTGTCCGTTCCCTGTGATCGCCCGATCAGCTCTTCCCCGCGGCGTTTCAGAGCCTCGAAGGAGGGCTGCAGCTTCTCCAGCTCCACCGTGGCGTTTTTGTTCTCGCTGATGCACTCCCGGATCTTATCGACCTCGGCGGGGATGAGGGGCGGCACGCGCAGGCGGGAGGAGAGGGTCTCCAGCGTCTCCAGCATGGGCTCGATCTTATCGTGGAACTGGAGAAGAGCAAGTCCATTAGGGCAAGGCGAGATGAGATTAAGCAACGCTAGGTCGTTCCCTGCGTGTGCAACAGCCCTTAGCGCTGCACCCAGCGGCCTCTCGGAGAGGACAAACATTGCCTGCAACAGCAATTAAACCTGCAGCGTCCTGTTCACGCCTGCCTCCGCTCTCCTCTGCTGCCAACAGCCCCAGGCTGCACCAGCTCCAGCCGTACATCAGCCATACAGACTCACAGAGCCGGCACAGGCAACTGCGAACCAAACACGGCAGATTCAACCCTACAAAATTCACATTTTCGACCGCTGTCCCGCTTCTCGCGGACGGCGAGCGTGGCAAGAAAACCCAATCTCGTTTATTTGAGCATCCGCGCAAAGACGCTGCTGGAAAAGCGCCCGTGTTTGGTGCTGATGGAAATCTCCGCTCGGTGCAATGCCAGCAAGAAAACCACCCTGGCAGGGTCAGCGGGAGATGGTGGAAGGCTGCATGCACACGGGGAGGAGCGAGCTGCCACGGAGCTGGGGCTTCAACAAAAGCAGAACCAGAAAGCCAAGAGTGAGAGAGGAAGGGGGTCTAGCAGGGTTTATTATTATTATTGTTTTTTAAAGAAAAGTCAACTTCGGCCTTAAAGATCCCAAACCATCTCTGCTGGCGAGAAGGACAGCTCTGAATTCTGGCTGCCAGCTCAGGTCCCTCTCTGCAGGACACCAGCGTTGGCATTCGCCAAGTCCCAGGCTCTAACAGCAGAGAGGAGAGGGGCTCTGGGTGCAAAGTTGATCAGGAGCACGCTGGCTCAGCCAACAAGCAGGAGCAAACCGGCTCAGCTAGAGCAGAAAGCTCCACGCATCAGTGTAAACCGCTCTGAAAGCAAAACCCCTGCTTTGCAAGAAGCATTCCCAGCGGAAGCTGGCCACGGCTGAGACCAGGCGGCAATGCAACGAAAGCCATCTCAGAAAAGTGGTTTCAGGCCCCCAGAGTTAATTTTTAAGCACGTTCTGCTGAGCTGTGCATGGACCAGAAATAAAAGTCCGGGTGTAAAATAGATAAGAGTGTAAATGAACATCTGTGGTGGTGGGGCTTACCTCTGTAATCTGCAATGGTGGGGCGCAGTCAACACAAGAATGAAATGGGACCATGTGGGGAGGACGGGCACAGGCAGCAACACACACAGATAACACATTCCACAATGGGAGTGAGAGATGAGACGGGAGGGGGGTGTGGGGGGAAAAACTCGGAGTTAATACAAGTGCAAACCAAGAGAAGTGACTACACAATACAGGAATAAAAAAAATAAACACCCAGACATGACAAAAACCAACTGTGCTACGGTAACACGGGGTGAAATGAAACATAACTAGGGGTCAGAAACCCTCAGCAGCGGAAACTCTTCACCCCCTTTCTGGACTTTAGCACCTACAGTCTCTGCCCTTCCTTTCATATCTCTGCTCCTGCAGTCACTGCCCTTCTCCGGAGATGCCCAGACCCTGAAGATGACCCTTAACTTTCCCATACAAAGGATCCCGTGGCCATTCACTGCACACGCAGCTTATCAGAAATTAAACTTATCTCTCCAAGCTCTTTCAAGAAGCTCTCCGGGCCCTTCCAACCTCGGGTGGATGCCAAAACAGCCCCTTTGAATGAGCATCGTTATTGAGGTTGTAAAAATTTATTACCCTATTTACTATGTCAGGATTCAAACGCCTTCTCCCCTGCTTTCGCAGCCAGCGCTGAGCAGCAGGAAACTACCCTGGAGGTGTCTGACCATGTTGTGCCTTATAAAAGGTTTTACAATCGTAACACTCGGAATAAAACCGCATTTCAAAGCGCGTGGCTTCCCCAGGGGACTGTGATAAGAAGACTCGGCTCCTTCGCACCCCAGCGTACCTGGGTGGACTGCGAGACGGCTTCGTCGAGCGCGAGAGCCCGCTGGCACACCTCCTCCTTGATTTTGGCATACATGGCCTCAGCCGTCGAGTATTTTTTCTGCACCATCTCCCCTTCCTCGGGGTTGAGGTCCTTGAGCTGCGGTCCGATTTTCAGCAGCTTGTCAATATGAGGCTTATGTTCAGCAATGGACTCTCTCAGTTGCTAGGGAATGGGGGGGGGAGGAGGAAAGACATTTGTTTAGAAATCTATTGAAAGCCGCTGCCTATTTATTTCATGCAACACTCCAAGAGCAGCGATCGTATCTGGTAGTGAACTCACACCGTGGATTTCTTGATCCAGCATCTGCCAAGCACATGGCACTCGGCTCTTCCTAACATGGCCACAGCTCTGCACGCGCCGGCACATCGCCCGGCACAGGTCCTTCCCCGGCACGGCCGGCTCCTGACCCTCCCCACAGCCCCACGGGGGACACCAACTGAGAAAACTCACTTTGCAGCTCTCTACCCTAAAAGCACAAAGCGATTTTCCCTGCCACAATCGGGCAGGAGATCCGAAGGCAGCCAGGCTCCCTTGGGTGCAAGCTGCATTTTAGCAAGAAGTGCTCCAGTGTAACTAGTGATTTTCACAGGGTACACTCACGGCACGCTTATGTTACATAGGCAGGATCCCCAAAAAGAAGAGAATGGGGAAAAAATGTCAGAAAAATTCAGAAAAAAGGTGCTCTCGCCCCTGCGAGCGCTGCGCCTTCGTTTAAGGTAGAGGAACTGACGGTGCAGGAGCTGCAAACGTCCTCTTACCCTCATGTCTTCCTGCTGCTGCTTGAGCTGCTCGTGATCGATGGCCGGAGGGGGTAGCTGGGAGATGAGGGCTTGCGTCTCCTCGATCCACGGGTTCAGCTCCTCGTAGGTCTCCCAGAACTGGTTGACCAGGACCTGGGCGCGCTCCAGGCGAGCGTAGCGCTCCGAGTTGAGCTGGCTCACGGCTTCGTACTGTTGCACCAGAGATTCGGTTTTCTCCTGAAGAAAGAGGGAGGAGAGTTACAGCAAGGGATGCAGAAGGGCCCAGGAATAGCGCCAGCTGCACGCTGCGAGCTGGAAGAGCAGGAGGTGCCTTTGGTGGCCTTCCACGCGCGCAGGCTGTAATTCCAATTAAAGCAGCCTCAGAAATCTCCGCTGTCCCCCCCCCATCCCCAAACACTGCAATAAAAATATGCAATAAGAGAGAGTAATAAATGTAAAGAGATTTCTGCTAACGCTGGTGGGAATTACTAAAGATGGAGTAATTTTAAACTACTTCAGCCTGTGCAAGAGCTGATGAGCATTCGCGTCTCTCCCCTCTCTGTCTCCCCCATCGCGGTAAATAGCAGAGGGAGGCTCACCTGGAGAACAGCTTTTTGTTCCTCCCCGCACGTCCCAAAGATCTCATTGCGCTGGCTGAACAGTTCATCCATAGAGTCTTTGTGCCGAATAATGTCGATGGAAAAAGCCTGCAGAAAGGAAACGTCCAAAGAAAGGAAAGAAATCAGAGCCGAGCCCAACCTCTCCCCCCAGCCCGTCCACGGGACCCTCCTGCCTGCACCAGCTGTAGCAGGCAGCAGAGCTCAGCGCGGCAGAGACCACACAAAACTCAGCACAAGCGTCCTGCGGCACACTGAAAATCTGGCTGAAAATGCAGATTACTGCATGTTTTTCTCATGACTCATCTACTTCAACCTCTCTCTTTCAAAGGCCTGAAAATGGCTCTTGAAACGAGGTATCAGTCAACTTCCACACCCAGGGTCCTCACCGGAGGAAAAGCTCCACCATCCATTTGTTAGCGAACGCGTTAACCCCCGAAACGATGCTCTCCAGAATTGCATCTACCAATAATCTCGCCATTCCCAAGGTCCACACGATTAGCAGCGGGAAGCCAAGCTGAGCTCAGTTTAACTTAATGCTTGACGGTTCAGTCCCCCTCCCTTATAACAATTTTTCCTTTTTTTTTTTTTTTTAAAATCCAATAAGCCTGTACGCTGCTCTGATTGCCGAGGCTGGTAAGGGAAGAAAAGGGCCGTTTATTTAAAGTGCACGTTCTTTCAGGCATGAGCTCATCTCAAAGATATAAAAAACCCCAGCGTGTCTTTGTTCCACGTCTGGCTGCCGGGAGGGAAACGAGGAGTCCCCCACTGCAAGGAACAATGAGCAAAAAGCAAATGTAAAAGCACCCTCATTAATCAATATATACATTTCTCCAAACCCTTCCCGCTGCCAGTGCCTGCAAGCCCCAGGCAGAGCTTGCTCCGGCAGCCCCAGGGAAAGCCTGCGGAAGGAGCGGCTCTCCCTAGGGGAGTCCAAGCAAGAGCACCCACTGAGCCCTAAACGGCCGTGCAAAGTTTTCGGCTCCGGCAAATGGACAGGAGGTTTCTTCCTTCAGAAGCCCAACACTTCATTTCTCTAAATCCTCTTTCTTCCTCGTTTTTTGCTTCTACTTACCAAGGACAAGTGTTGCACCTCTCCTGGTGCTCTGGGCTCAGCGCTACAAACCCCAGGGTACAGCTGCCCCCCCCCAAACCCCAACCCATCACCCAAACCACATCCCCGTCCCCCCCGGCAGCGCACGTACCTTCTGCACCTGCAGCTGAGCCGTCGTCTGGTCTTGCTCCAGGCGGATGGGACCGAGAGCCGTCAGCTTCCGCTTGGTCTCAGCCACCCAGGCCCGCTCCGCGTCGGCCGCCGTCTCGTACTGGCACACGGGAGAGGCCAGGTTAAAGGAGGGCAGCCGGG